GTCTCAGATTTGATATTAAAAGGTAAATTAAGGCTTCGTCAACTGACTGGGAAAGACCCAGCTGAAATTATTGTACCTTTAACGAATGAGGAAATTTCCTCCTTATGGAAGGATAATGAGTATTGGCAAATAGCTTGCAGTGACTTTTTGGGAAGTATTAGTAATAACTATCCCAAAACAGAGAGAATCAAATTCATAAAGAAAACAATTTGGATTCTTCCACGTATCGTGAGGCAAACACCTATTTCTGGAGTTCTTACCTTCTACACGGATGCAAACAAATCAGGTAAAGCAGGGTATAAATCAGGAAATATAAGTAAAGTAGTTCAAAGCCCTTACAACTCCGTACAAAAGGCAGAGTTATATGCCATTCTCATGGTACTTAAAGACTTTACAGAGCCTCTCAATATAGTCACGGATTCTCAGTATGCAGAAAGAGTTGTCCTGCACATTGAGACTGCAGAATTTGTTCCTGATAATACAGAATTAACCTCATTGTTTTTACAATTGCAGGAAATCATCAGAAACAGGACTCATCCTATATATATAACACACATCAGATCCCATACAGGTCTGCCAGGTCCTCTGGCACAAGGCAATGATGAAATTGATCGTTTATTAGTAGGTAATGTGTTGGAAGCTTCAGAATTTCATAAGAAACACCATGTTAACAGCAAAGGTTTAAAGAAGGATTTTTCTATCACCTGGCAACAAGCCAAAGAAATAGTAAGAAATTGTCCCAGTTGCTCATTGTACACTCAAACTCCATTACCAGCAGGTTGTAATCCTAAAGGTGTTCACAGAAATGAACTTTTGCAAATGGATGTATTTCACTTCCCAGAATTTGGCAGTTTGAAATATGTACACCATACTATAGACACGTACTCAGGCTTCCAATGGGCTACTGCCCTCAGCTCTGAAAAAGCTGACTCTGTTATTACACACCTCTTAGAGGTAATGGCTGTTATGGGTATACCTAAAACAATAAAAACTGACAATGGTCCAGCATATGTCTCCAGTAAATTGGAATAATTCTTCAAATATTATAATATAAAACATGTAACTGGTATACCTTACAATCCCACAGGACAAGCAATAATTGAAAGGTCTAACCGAACCTTAAAAGAGATGCTTCATAAACAGCCAGGGAAAACAAAGACACCTAAACACAGGTTACACAATGCTTTACTAACGTTGAATTTTCTTAATGCTGATGAAAAAGGACAAACTGCAGCAGAAAGACACTGGACTACAGAGAAGACTTCTGAACTGAACCAACCGGTGTATTTTAAGGATGTTATGACCTCAGTCTGGAAACCAGGATATGTGTTACGTTGGGGAAGGGGTTATGCTTTTGTTTCCACAGGAGAAGAAAAGATTTGGGTTCCATCAAAATTAATTAAAATTCGATCAGAACAGAAAACATCTCAGGAGGAGGAAGATAACAGCCCATCTACGAATTCATAGTCCACCATGGGTAAAGTGACCTCCTAAAAGGAAAGAGAAGTGTTTTGTTTTTTGTATTCACAGGTAAACTCAGCAAAGTATACTGGACTTATGGATTCCTGTAGAAGAATGAATAGCTACCCTGAGGACCATCAAACAAACAGTATCTCACTGTGTGGTATCAAAGTCTAAATCTCTCTATATTGTTTTTTCATAGTACCCTTTTATCTTTATTTCTTCACATACCTCAGTCCCCATTCATTTAACTGAAGCTGGCTTTGGAGTTGGATTGGCTCTCCTACTCTAAACCCAAGCATATTATTTAAATACAATTCAGAATTTCTGTATTATATCAAAGAGCCATTGATATAAGACAGAAGAAATAAAAAATGAGGGACTGTTATCTATGGATTTCTTTTTCTGAACAGTCTAATTTCCTCCAGGTTTTCCATCTTCCCTATTGTCACCTCTTCTGTATGCATACATATGAAAGTTAAAATATTTCTTTGTTAACAGTAATGTTTGAGTTTTCCAGAGAACAAGGGATTTCCTGACAGCAATCTTCAACTGCTTCCGAAAGAGAATGAGGATCCACTTCCTTGACTTCACCTGATTCGACTGGTGGCATCTGAATTGCCCCACATCATTGACTCCACCTGACAAGCACTATCCTGAAACTGGCTTGAAACTACATCACTTGACACAACTCCAGACCAAGGAACGGAAATAGCACATCTTCTACAATCTGACCAGAGCTTCAAGATAAGAGCTTCAATCAACACTAGAACCCCAGTCAGGAACTTCAATCAAGCATCTCCTGCCATACTGAGACTGTCTGATCTACTCAGATTTTGTTATACTAACATTTTCTTTTCACAGGTCCCCATGAGATTATCATCGTCCCATCTCAGCAGGAAGTAGTTTTGAGAATTCCACGCCCCCTCTCCCTACTATTGATATTATAAGATTACACCTGTTAGTGTTAGTTTTCAATTATTTTAGAGTTGGGATTGGAGGGAGGTGTTCTTATTTGGGTGTTTAAGATAAGTTTAGGTTTAGATAGAATAGATGTTTGATACATTTTGTTCATGGACACAAGTTAGTTGTCCTTTTTTAGACTAAAAGGGGAATTGTAGGAGGAAGTCTGATGCCGCCATTAAACATGTGACTTACTAAGTCTATGCCGCCATTAAACATGTGACTTACTAGAGGCGCATACAGATGAGGTAATAAAAGGGCGGTTTACCACACCGCTAACCACACCCACTTTAGGCAGGACTAAAGACGTATACGGCTGGAGGTAAAGATGTATACGTATGTAGGCGGAACTACGTCACTAGCCAAGCCCACTTTTGGGCATGGCTAGGGGCGTTACGGGGGGAGGGCATAAAAGACAGCGCACAGGAAGTCTCGCTCTCTTTTCCTGGAGTTCGGCTTCCGGTCCAGTCGCTAGCTGAGATCTGCTGGGCTTCTCTGGGTTTGGTAACTTGTGAGTAATTTTCTATATAAAATACTTAGCCTTATTTTCAGTAATTGTGTGTCGCGTATCGTTACAGCATCCGTTGAAGCCAACACAGCCTCCTTGGGTTCCTGCACACACATGGTGTGAGTAAACTCATACATATACAGGTAAAATCATAAATAAATATTAAAAGAAAAAAAAACAAGTGTAAGACTCCTAAGCATGACTTTGTCATTCTGGTGACAGGTCTCCAACAGGAGTCCAAGTCACCATGAGCTGGATACGGTTAAGTACACACCTTTAAGCCACATTTGGATGTGACACGTTGACAGGGCCTTAGGGTACCCTATCCTCACTTTCAACACACGTGCGATAGATGTCTGTGTGCAGAAATATGGCAGAAGCTGCATAGCTAAGGCATCCAGGGACCCCAGTTTTCATGGGGGAGAGTTATACAGTCAATAACCACAATGACAGGCATCATTTAAAAAGTGACAAAGTAGCACATTGGGAGACTGACTTCAAGGGAGGAGCCCCAGCTGCAGCTGGCTGGGTGAAGACACAAGGGAACAGAGCCGAGGAGCTCACACGGTAAACCCAGCATTCGGGTGGCTGGAGCAGGAGAGCCACAGAAGTCTGGGGCAAGCCTAAGCTACCCGACAGTGGAAGCTCGCCTCAAGCAGCCCCCCCCCCAATAAGGACTGGATGAAAAAATAATGATGTCACTATGAGTGAGGAATGTTCAGGATGATGGGGCAAGGCCTACATTATCTAACAGAATGAAAGCGCTAACAGGGGCAGACGAGGAGGGCAGAGAGGCAAACAGGGGTCTGTTCACACAGGGCCCAGTGGAACTGATTAGGCACGAGACAGGAAGCTATAGCAGTGTTTCAAATGTAACACTGGGTGGGATTCACCTCCCACCCCACAGTTCTCTGAATGCTGGATCAGAAAACGTGAACCTCCCCGTGCTGGGAGCTGTATCACGGGTCTTCCATGCCTTACAGTCATCACTGGCACTCCCTCTGAAATGCACATAGCCGGGTGGGAATAGCGGCTCACAACTACAGGCTGAGTGACTCTCACAGCGTTAATTCACTTTCCTGGATTCAATTCCCTGCCATTAGTGTAGAACTATACACTTTGCTCAATATTTAGAGACCATTCACCCATTATTCAAAATATTCATTGGGGCTGGGCGGTGGTGGCCCACACCTTTAATCCCAGCACTCAGGAAGAAGAGGCAGGCGGATCTCTGTGAGTTCGAGGCCAGCCTGGTCTACTGAGCGAGTTCCAGGACAGCCTCCAAAGCCACAGAGAAACCCTGTCTCGAAAAACCAAAAACCAAACTCCACAAACAAGCAAAAATATTCATTGGGTCAGAAACTGCCAGTTTTGAAAGAGGAACGGTGCACAGCTTCCACCACTAGGAGCTCCAAGTCCTGTGGGGATCGACTGGGATCAACCACCAGTTCAGTGTGCTCAGTGCTAAAATAGTTTAGTAAGGCTCTGACTTCACGAAACAAGGAACGTTCCGGGGAGCCTCCTTGAATATACACAACGCTCAGGCTGGAGAGGGAGGCTCAGTGGTTAAATCTCTGCACTGTTCTTCCAAAGGACCCGAGTCTGGTCCTTAACAGTTAAGTCTGACGGCTCACAAAAAAACCCCCGGTAACCCCAGCTCCTGGGGGATCGGATCCCTTCTCCTGGCCTCCGTGGGTACGGCACTCGCGGGGCCCACACACAAACGTAACTTTCTAAAGCGCATAAAGGACCAGGCGCGGTGGCCCACGTCTTTAACCCCAGCACTCGGCAGGCAGGGTTTCCAGACAGCCAGGGCCAGCCAGTGAGAGCCCGGCTCAAAAGCAAAACAGAAACGCTCGGGCGTCTACGGGCGCGATCGCTGCTAACTGCAGACACGGTCCCGGCGCGGGCTGGGCCACCCCTGGCTCTGCAGCCGCTGTCCTTTAGAGCGTTAACGTTGACCGCGTCTGTCGGGAGGAGCCCCCAGTGTAGACCGCAAACAGTCCACCCTCCTTGGGCGCCGGTGAACACTCTATCCCGAGCCCCGCCGCCCGCGGTCCCCGCTGACCTTCTCGACCTTCTTCGGCCCCTTCACCAGCTCGTGCCTCTTGGGGATTGTTCCTCCGTCGCAACCCATCCCAAGGCCGGAGTCAGAAGCCGCAGCAAAAAAAAACCAGACGCCGCCGCTTCCGGGGTCTTTGCCGAAACCTCACCCACTTCCGGCGCTCCTTGATGACGCGTATGGCCGTCGCGCCGCGGGAGGGGGCGGGGGCCGCTACGTGGATCCGCGGAGACTTTGTTCAGCGGCGGTCGCTATGGGAACGGTGCCCGGAGTTGGGCGCGGCTTCAGGGCCGTAGGCGGGCGTATCCTCCGGAGAGGGTCTACTTCCGGCCGTAGGCGGGCCCTTTGTCTTCCCCCGCTGGTCGGGGCTTTTTGCTGGGTCCGGTGTGACGGGGAGCACAGGGGAGCACTGGGGAGCTCGTGCGGCGCTGGCTGCGAGGCCTGCGCCCCTGGACCCTGAGCGTTTCGCAGGCCAGGCCTGTCACTTCAGCTAGCTCTCATGTTTAAGTCCGGACTTGAAAAACAAAACAGCCGGGCGGGGATGGCGCACGCCTTTAATCCCAGCACTGGGGAAGACACAGGCAGGCGGATCTCTGTGAGTTCGAGACCAGCCTGGTCTACAGAGCGAGTTCCAGGACAGCCTCCAAAACAATACAGAGAAACCCTGTTTCCAAACAAAACAAAAACAATCAAACAAAAGACCACGTGTGTGGCCCTGCGTGTGTCTATGTGCACCTTGTGAGTACCGCAGAAGGAGGTTTGGATCTCCCTGGGGTCCCTGGGATCAAACCAGCGTCTGCTCACTGTCCAGACTTTTGAGGACTCCAGTGTCACCACAAGCTAAGCTTAGCCACCCATCCCATCGCGCCAGTTAAAGATTAGTGACGGTAAAGGAAAGGAAGGGATAGATGCAGGGTGGCCACATTGGGAAGAGGGCAAATAAGCCAGGCAGACAGAGCTTAAGTGAGAAGTTTTATTAGAAAGGGAAAGGGGTGGGGGGTGGAGAAGAGAGGTAAAGAGACAGAGAGAGGACAGAAGAGAAGAGGGAGACGGGAAAAGTCCTGTCTGCCGCAGGAGAACAGCAGGAAAGAGAGTAAGTGGACAGGGGTCTTTTTTTTTTTTTTAGACAGGGTTTCTCTGTATTGTTTTGGAGCCTGTCCTGGAACTCACTCTGTAGACTAGGCTGGCCTCGAACTCACAGAGATCCACCTGCCTCTGCCTCCCGAGTGCTGGGATTAAAGGCGTGCGCCACCATGCCCAGCTAAGACTCTCAAAAACAGAATGTATTTGCACAAAAATGGATGCATGAGTCCCCAGTGCTTGTCACGCTGGAAGATCTCTCAGGTGGGCACTCGCCACTTCCATCCTCTTGGCGAACTGAACTTAATTGAGGTCAAGTTGGTGTTACCACCACCCACCATTTCCTTTTCCTTTTTGTGGAGGAAATGGTGCAGAACGTTGGATATTAGAAACATTTGTTTAACAAGAAGTTGTCAAAAGCTGACAGATTGCATGTGATTCTAAAGCTCCTGGGCAACCCTGTGGAGCCAGTCTCTGGAGACTCACCCCCGTGATGGCCACTGTCTGTCTGTGGAGACTCACTTCATTGATGGCCACAGTCTGTGGAGTCTGTGGAGGCTCACTCCCATGATGGCTGTTGTCTATGTAAAAAGGGGAGGAGGTGCTTGCAGCCGAGAGCAGTATTTTTCATGATGTTGTACATAATGGGTTTGCGCTTTGCTGGCAAGGATTTTTTTGTTTGTTTGTTTGTTTGCTTACTTGGAAGGGTCTACATAGCCCAGGCTGGCCTCAAAGTCCGTGTGTAGTTGAAAATGACCTTGAAATCCTGGCCCTTCCCCTGCTGGGATTACAGTCGTGTGCCAGCGCTTGCCTATGAGGAGCTGGGGATGGAACCCAGGGCTTCCTGCATGCTGAATACATACTCTACCAACCGATACACACCCTTTGACAACAGTTCTTGGTTTGAACACAACTCAAAAATTTAAGAATATGAAAAGCGGCACCAGGCCACCAAGCTGCTAGACTGTCTGCCACTGGGAAGGGCCTGGGTGCAAGCTTGTGAGGCATTAGGACAGTGTTGGGCCAGGAAGCAGTGCAAACAGGCTGTCTGCATCATTGAGTAGATAGACCCGTATTTCTGTAGCAAGGAGGTTTTACCCTTTGTTCCCTGCTTCCAGCTGCGTCCCTGACCTTACTGGAAGGTAACTCCCAATGACGGTCTTTCATTTCTGCATGTCTGAGCAGACCACATGGTGTTTTGTTCTGAATGTCTTCTCAACAATGCTGTGACCAACAACCTTGGAAGATAAAGATAGTTTCTCCCTCCAGAGTGCAGGACAGGTTTTTTGGTCAATAATGCATCCATCCACTCACCCACCTATCTATCTATCTATCTATCTATCTATCTATCTATCTATCTATCGGTAGATACCTATTATTATTTTATTGAGATGGGATCACTGTGTATCCCTGGCTGATTTATAGCAGGCTGATCTAAAATTCACGGATATACCTATAGACAGATGTATCTATATCTATAGATACCTATATTGATAGTTACAGGCATAATTTTAAAAAAATTGAGACACTGTTTAAGTACCTAGCCTTGGTTGTACTCAACTTGTAGCAATCCTCCTGCCTCAGCCTCCCAAGTGCCAGCTGCTGAAAATCAGGTAAGCGTGGTGTCTCGGAGACACAGCTCCAGCACCTGTGCTTAGGATTTGTTGCAAGAGTTGGCGCATTCCTGAGCTAAGAGCTCCTGGCCCTGATCCAAACTTGTTGGTGTCCAGCCTTCACCTGGGACCACCTCTGCATCACGCCTGGGACCAGAGGGACGTGGGCCACTTAACAATGTGAACGTGAATGCAGTTGCTTTCGGTTCTTCCAATCCTTGTCTCTGTGCAGATGTATGCCCACGCAGCAGGCCTGACTGCCATGCTTAGGAGACCCCGCTTGAAAAGTGGGCCCTTGATTGGCACATGGGAGCTTGGAATTGGGAAGGTTCTTCACCATCCTCAGAATGACTAAGCATGGCTTTCTGCACCTAAACCATACATACAGTGAGATTCAGGCCAACCATCTGCTTTCCCCTGGAGGCCGGGATATTTTGGGATGTGCCTGGCATAGAACACTTGTGTCTTCATTCACCAGTCAGCGTGTTGGGGCCAAGGTTCTCACGAGCGCCTCTGCTTAGCAACACCCTGCACACGCCGCTGCAGTTTGTGGTTGAAGAGTGCAGCATGATCTTGTCTCTTGGAAGCTTGTTCCTGGTTCCCATGCATCTGACCCCTGAAGTCTCTTCCCTGTCACTGGATATGGGGTACACACCTTTAATCCAGCTCTCAGGAGGCAGAGGCAGGAGGATCTCTGTGAGTTCAAGGCCAGCCTGGCCTACAGAGTGAGTTCCAGGACAGCCGAGGCGGCACAGAGAAACCGTGTCCTGAAAACATAAGAGGAAAAAAAGAAATGAATCGGAGCTCTGAGTATGACTGCACTGGGTTCTGTAAATCCTCCTAGTGACTGATAATGCCGAAAGGTTACTCGGGGCACGCCCACATAGCCTCTTCTCCCCGAACCTCGGTTCTTTTTTCTGTGTCCTTAGAACTGGCAGGAGAAATTCTTCGATGCATCACAGTGCCACACTGAGCTAGTGTTTAGGGTTATTGGAATGTGAGAGTGTGTGTGGATGGGTGGGGGAATGTGGGAATGTGGGCATGAGAAAGAGGAGTATGCGTGTGAGTGTGTGTGTTTATGGTCAGTGTGTGTGTGTGTGTGTGTGTGTGTGTGTGTGTGTGTGTGTTCTCAGGCTAGAGGACACTGGATTTCCTGTAGCAGTTGTGAGCTGCCCATTGAAAGTGCTAAGATCTGAACTCAGGTTTTCTGGAAGAGAAGAAAGTACTCTCTGGCCGCTACATTCAATATTCTAAAAAGGATTTATGTTTATTCTATGTGTGTGAGTGTTTGCATATAAGAGTATGTATGGATATATGTTTGTATGCACATGCATCTGCACGTATGTATTACACCACTTTCACCCTTGCTGCCTGAGGAGGACAGAAGAGGTTGTCAGATCCCTTGGAACTACAGTTACAGATGGTTGTGAGCTGCCACGTGGGTGCTGGGAGCCAAACCCGGGCCTTCTGTGAGAGTAGCGGGTGCTTTTCGCCACTGAGCCATCTCTGCAGTCCCTGCAATCACTTTTTCAAAAGTGCCCATCACATGAGAGAGGACAGAAGTCATCCTTGGCACCACTACAGGAGACATGGCCTGGAGACGATTTGTGAAGGCAGCATGTGACATGAGAGACAGGGCCCTTCCCATGGAGTGAAGGGTAAGGTAACCATAGTGACGTGAGTTGCACAGGGTGAAGGATGAGATAACCATGGCAACATGAGTTGGAAGGCTGAGCTTCGAGGAGAAAAAGAGGAAGTGGTTTGCATGAGGGGTGTTTGGTAACACATCCATAGCTGTGAACAGTGTGGGTGTCACCTTATGCCGCATCTTCCTGTCTGCCCTCAGGGACACACAAATGATGGTTTTGCTTTCCAGTCTGGACTGACACACACAAACCTGCACACACCCCTGCAGGTGCCCTCAAAGAGGGCACGGTGTCAGCAAATGGCACTTTGGTGCCGGCGCTCAGGTGACATGTCACAGAGACTCTTCAAGGAAAGGACCACTGTCAGTGTGCGTAGATGTTTTAATTTTTAAAACTACAGTTCAGGTCTTTGTGTGTGTGTGTGTGTGAATGTTCAAAGACAGTTATCAGGAGTTAGTTCTCTCTTTCCACCACACGGGTCCCCGGGATAGAACTCAGGCAATCAAGATTGGCAGCAGGTACCTTTACCTCCCGAGCCATCTCCCGGGACCTTGCAAATGTGTTTAAATCCATGATTACAGGTAATTATATAACAGATTTGAGACTAGTGAATTATAAAGTGAATCTAACTGAGGAGTAGAACGGACTGATACAGGGTTTGTAACATACAAAATAAGTTAGTAGACAGCCCAACAGAACACATATCAGTTGCCTTTGGGGTGAGGTAACACAGCCAAAATACACTGGGGGGTGCTACGGATCAATCTTAGTGGCAGAGTACATGCTTAGCATTCATGAAATCCTAGATTCAGTCTCTAACAACACACACACACACACACACACACACACACACACACACACTTTGTATACATCTCACAGTATTAATCCAAAACTAACAGATAGAAAGTAAATGATCATTACTTTGGTGGGTTTTCACTATATAGCCCTCTTTGTCTTGTAACTCACTATAGACTGGTCTGGCCTCATTAAGGTCAGTCTGCTTCTGGCTCCCGAGTGCTGGACTTAAAGTCAGGCACCACCAATCCCTGCAGGTCATCACGTTTTCTAATGAGTGCAACAGAAATCAATCCTCTGCACAGAAGTTCCTTCCTCCTGTTTCCTCAACTTTCCATTTCTCATTAGCAGCAGACAGACTGCAGACATATCCTCGTCCTGTCGTCCATCTTCCCAATCAGACTGACTCCAAGGGCAGAGCCTCTGTCACTTCAGCCCCTGTAATGTGACCTCAGGTGCTGCCTAATAAATAGGTGTAGAAAGACTGTAACCCCCACACACATCTGACTGGCAGGAAACATGGCTTCTACAGTGCCACTCCCACTATTGGTGTTGTACACCTTGGCACAGTGAGTTCAGTGTCACAAGACCCTGACTTGTCACCTGCCTCTTTCTTGACCTCCTTGTGGTCAGCCAGTATCCTTCGGAGGCTTGGCCACCTACTAATACCACCTCCGAGGACCGTGGCTGCTTCAGCCTATCTGACTGGCTGTCCCACAGGACAGAGAGATGCCAGTTGTGGGTGTGAAGCCAGCCAGGAAGTTGACCTCTACAGGAGGCGTTAGAAAGGCTTCATTCCAGCGTTTCTCTGAATTTCCGAGTGTGATACTCTAGTTTCTCCACCTCTGTCTGGAGGCAGCCCAGTGCGCTGGGGCTCGGGTACTTGATCACTGCATTCTTGGTGGCCAGCGCCAGGTCCCTGAGCAGCCCACACAGGTGACTGCTGCCACGCAGGATCTCGTTGCGTTCATCCTGGTCCTGGGTCTCCCTGCACAATGTGTCTACCAGCTTCTGCCCGACCGTGATGACCAGCTTGCTCTGAGTGATGAAGACCTCGGGGGGCTGGCTGCTGCCGAGGCTGCTGGTAAAGACACCGATGGCTTTGAAGAGTGCTCCGAAGTAGAGCCTGCAGTGCTCGGACAGGTGGGTCTTCCTGACTGCGTCCCGCTGGCTGGGCGGCGGAGAGGTGAGAGAGCTAGGACTCTAGGGAGAAAGAAGGAGAGGATACGACACACGTAAGGTAGGGAGAAAGAAGGAGAAGATACGACACACGTAAGGGCCGGAGCCGTCAGCAGAGTGCAGCGGCCATTCCTTGCAATTTGCAAGAAGCCTTCTAAGAAAAAGCAGATTTGTTAAGGAAATTCAGAGCTGGCTGTGACATTTGTCCGACAAGTGAATGCCAATGTTTTTCAAAGCAACATTGTTCGACGTGCAACGGTATGTATTCTTGTGCTAGAGGTTGTAGTGCATTTGTGTGGACAGTTTTATTCAAACAGCTCTGTAAACCTTAAAAAATGCATCCTAAGGAGCACACTGATAATGATAAATTTGCAACTTCCAAATGTTCAAGAAGTGTTATCCCTACTCTGGAGGTGGAGGCAGGAAGATTGCCAGTTCAAAGGCTGGCCTGACCTATGTGGTGCACCCTGGTCTCCAGGCAGAGAGTAGAAGCAGCGAGACAGACATCATGCGCATCTCCGCTTGAAAATCAACTGTAGGCAAATGAAAAATGTTCTAAAGCTTTACCTGGGGCAGGGATGGGGAGGAAGCTATCATCACCTCTTAATGGGGAAATGCTGTGGGCAGTTAGTGGGCAGGGGTCCTGGAATGCTGAATGGGGTATCCCATACATAGATCCCTGTCCCCAGAGCCAATGAGGAAGCCCTGTTAGTGTGAAGCAGCACTGTCATATGTGGGCCTTGGAGCAGCCATCAACATCACTTGCTGGAGATGCAGGTTCTTGACCTCTGCCCAGACCCAAGAGATCAGAGACTGAGAGTTGCAGTAAGACTGGCGGGCAGTGGTGACACCTTTATAAGTCTAAGGCACTCCTCACATGGGATAAAACAGCAGGACAGAGTCAAAGCCAAGTGCTAGGGGCTGTGGAGCTGGCTTCTAAGAGGCTTGGGTTCTTGTCCGTATCTGTCTCTGAGAAGACAGATGCCCTGTCTAAGTCAGCGGGCATCTCTGCCCCCTTTGCTCTCTAATATTCCAGTTGTTGATCTGGGTTACTGCACCTCAACAATTTCCGTAGCCTTCATTCCTCTTGCCTCTTCTCCACATTGACTGCCTTTTTGCTTGATTTTTAAATGACAGCGTATATATGTGTGTGGGTTGCATGTATGTACAGATACTACTTGTGCACATACATTCAGAGGCCAAAACATGGTGTCAAGGTTCTTCCCCAATCTTTTCCTGTCTTATTGCCTTGAGATAGGGTCAGAAGGACCCCATCTTGATTAGCTAGTGAGCTCCCAGAATCTCTACCTGCTCCCTCCCCAATGGTGGGGTTACAGGTACATGGTACCCAGCCATGCCTGGCTTTTTTACATGGGTTCTGGGGATTAGAACTCAGGACTGCATGCTTGCACAGCAAATACTCTTACCCACCAAGCCATCTCCCTCGTCATGGACTCATTGTTCATACTTGAACTGATTTAGAGGAAACATTTAAAGTTGGTAAATGGAAAGCTGCCTTCTGCCACAAATAAAAGATAGCGAACAAGAACAAACAGTGATAACATCTTTGGTTTCAAAGACAATGATCAGGTGTCAGAGATGTTATGAAGAAGCATAAACCCGAAACGAAATGCTCTACTGTGCACATCATCAAAATATGAAAGGGTTGCCAGGCTGGGTGTAGCTCAGTTGACTTTGCCTGCCTTGAACAGAGCCCTAGATTTGATTCCAAATACAAAGACCAGAGGGAGAGAAAGAAAATTATTAAAGGGTATGTGACAGTGTCGTTTAATGTCATGTGGATGTTGTCTACGGCAACCCTGAAGAGCACCTAAAATGCTTTCCCTGACGGTTAGGAGCCTATGCTCCACCCAAGTGCCCAGGGTCCCCACACTACTAAGGAGAGCAGGAGGCAGATAGATGTCACTAACATGGAGTAAGCTATAGGTCTGAATTTTCATAGCCCAAGGAGAGCGCTCCAGGACCAATCACATTCACCAGAGCCCCAGAGAGTATGGGGTCTCACCATGGCAGGGAAATCTTTGTTTCCATCTGAGCTTCCTTCCAAGATGGGCTCTCCTTTTTCTTGTAGGTTAGGTGGCTTCTGACAAAGTTTAAATCTTCACATTACTAATATGAACAGCTTTCACATTACTGTGACTGCTGAAGTTCACTTTTTTTTTGTTTCGTTTTTATGGTTGGTGGTTTGTGCCCCCTCCTCACCCTTGAGATCTTGCCATGGCGCCTGGATTGGCCTGGAACTCGCCACCCTCGCCCTAGCTTCCTGAGGAAAGAGGTTGTAGGCGTGCACCACCGTGTCCCACTTAAATTTACGTTTAAATGTGAGATTTCGTTCATGATTCTTCCTCCTGATGCGTCCGTTGGCTTTGGTAACAAAGGGCTGGATCATGCCTGCCAATGTAGCCTGATAAAAATGGAAATTAAAAACAGCCAACTTCCTGGGAAGGGCCAGCTCTCTGCTCTGAAGTCTGGCAGTGCCTGAACTCAAGGTCTCCTTGTGGGGTCCAAAGGCGTTCCCGGGGCAGCAGGCTGCTCAGTCCCGCACTGGGAAGAATGTGTGCTGCCCTCCTCTGACTCTGAGAAACATATCTACAATGACTCAACCTAGAAATTTGGAGAAACCTGGCAGTTAGTGGCACAGGCCTGTGGTTTCCACATCATGGGAGATGTGCTGGATAGTTTTTATGTCACCTTGACACACGCTAGTCACGGGAGAGGAGGGAGCCGCAATTGAGAAACTGTCCCCACAAGATCGAGCTGTAGGCAAGACTGCAGGGTGTTTTCTTAATTAGTTATTCCCAGGAAGGGCCCTGCCCATGGTGGGTGGGCCGCCCATGGGCTGATTGATGGTCCTAGGAAAGCAGGCTGAGCTAGCCATGGGGAGCAAGCCAGCAAGCAGCACCCTCCATGGCCTCTGCATCAGCTCCTGCCTCCGGGATGCTGCCCTGCTTGAGTTCCTGTCCTGACTCCCGTCAGTGATGAACAGTGCTGTGGAAGTGTGAGCCACATAAACCCGCTCCTCTCCAGTTTGCTTTTGGTCATGGTGTTTCATTATAACAGCGATAACCCTAACTAGGACAGGAGGCTAAGGCAGGAGGGACCCAAGTTCAAAGCTTGCTTGAGCAACTTAGGGAGATCCTTTCTCAAAATAAAGAGTAAAAACAGAGTTGTTTCAGTCCTGGCGGCACGCACCTTTAAACCCAGCCTTCAGGAGGCGGAGGCAGATCTGTGAGTTCCAGGTCAGGGTTACATAGTGAGACCCTGTCACAAACAAACAAACAAACAAACAACAACAGTAGAAAACAAGGTGGAGAATGACAGATTAAGACACCACACATCTGCACACTATATGCACACACATACTCCAACAGGTCCTGGGAGACAGCCCAATCAGTGAGGTCCTTTGCAAGCACAAGGAACTGGGCCCAACCCTGGGACCCATGGAAAAAGGTTGGGTGTGGAGGCACACGCTTGTCATTGCAGCACCAGGAGGAGAGGAAGGCAGATCCCTAGGTCCCGCTTTCCAGCCAGTCTAGCCTACCTGGCTGCTTCCAGTGGGAGACACTGAGGAATGACAGCCAGGGTTGTTCTCTGGCTTCCACACACTCACACAGGTACACAATTACACACACACACACACATGCACACTTTCACACACACATACATATTTACACACATGTATACACACAGGTACACACTTCCACAAACAGGTACACATTTATATACACACACGCACACACACGGGTACACACAGTGCACACTTCCACACACGTGCACACTTCCACATGAACACATACACATTTACACACACATATACACACAGGCACACACTTCCACACACAGGTACACATTTACACACACCCGCACACACAGGCGCACACTTCCACACGCACGGGTACACACTTACACACGAGTACACACTTACACACATGGGTACACACATGGGCACATACACAGGTACATATTTACACACACACTTACACACAGGCACACACTTCCACACACGCGCGCGCACACTTCCACACACGTACACATTTACACACACGTATACACAAGGTGCACACTACCACACACGGGTACACATTACACACATGAGTATACACTTACACACATGGGTATACACTCACACACACAGGTTCACACTTACACATGTACACATTCCCGGCATATCCCTCTGTGGTGACCATTTCAAGAAACAAATGAAGCTCCCTGGTGGTTCATCACCCGAACTCACCTGTCTACAGACGTTCACTCTGTTTTTCTTTACCAGCTCAAGGCAGTGTTCATTCGCCAGTTGTCTGTTGAAGGGACTGCTCTTTTGGTATGACTCAGTTTCTCTTTGGGGAGGCCGGATGCACTTTTCACACTTCAACTCCGTCTCTCCTTTCTCACAGTTCTGCTTAAAAAGGAGCCTCCCGTTGGCAATGACAATGGAGGTAAATCTCTTGACATCTTCTGGAACCAAACGTGCCACCATGACAAGCCTCTCCAGGTCATCCAGGCTGTTTTGGACTTTGTCCATCACGAGAACTTCAAGGGACCAATTGCAGCGGTCCAGGCTCCCTTTGGCGTCCAGCAAAGTCTGGTAAGAACCCGAGATTATTTGGAGCTGATCTCTAATCCTAGCCTGAAGCTGGCTGTCTGTGAGATTGCGAGCGGTCTCACCAACCCCTTGGGCAAAATCCAGAAACTCTCTTAAGGCTTCTTCGGTGTGGTCAGCGGCCCTGCGGATGCCGTGGACGTTGGTCTCCAACGAGTCCTTGAGCCTCCAAGTCCTGCTCACAAAGAGCAGCAGGCCCGCTGTCGAGCTGGCGACTTGGTGCTGCAGGGCCATTGCCGTCTCTTTGGCAAAGTCCATGTCCATCCACAGCTCTTTTGCGGAGTCCTCTGAGGAGGAGCCCGGGGAGGAGTCCGTGGATGCGGATGAGCACGAAGACACCACACTAGCTCTGCTGTCTGAGCTGGCAACAGATAATTGGTCTGAGTCAGGGGACAGGGAACTTGTGTGTCTGGAGACCCAGGGGATGCTCTCTGGAACCTCTTTGACTTTTTCCAGCTCTCTCCCGGCCTGAGACATGCCGTGAGTGGCTTTGGGGGTGTAATAAATGTTGGGTTTGGTGTTCTGCTGCTCCACTCTGGGAACGAGAAACCTGGAAGGGACCCTGTAGCTGCTGCCTGCATCGGAAGGAAGCGAGTCCCTGGGTGCCAGGACGGCGTAGGAAGGCTCCTCTGGAAGTCCACTCTTCTGCCCCGTGCTCCCCAGCTGTGGGGGGAGGGCCACAGCTCCAATGTGCACAGCGGAGGCGGAGCCTGGTCCAGCCCTGGACCCTGATTCTCTGGTGAAGCTGGCCAGAGGTGCATTTCCGACGTGGGCCTTTCCCAGTGACACCGGCGTGTCATTCATCCATTCTGGCTTCTGAGGGCTGGATAGCGTGCTGTAGCCACCGCCTTGTCTGAAGCCAGTGGTTGGCGTCAGCACAACACTCTGTCCCTGCGAGAGAAGCACACAGTGCTGTCCAGGTTAGTAGCAATCAGGAGAGTTTGAAAGGTTATT